AGATCAAATGAGTGTCAGTTTAATAAAAACAGTGGTGCTGGAGTGTGTGTGGAGACAGGAGATCTGACACACTGTGTTTACCTCTTCATTTTCCATTATCCACTTTGCTGGGAGGTGTTAAAACCAGCTTGGAGCTGGGGATGTCAGAGCTGTGTGCAGTCCTAGGTGTTACAAGCAGTCCAGGGGCAGCAGCCACCTCCTCCTCTTGCTCTACAAGCTCCTTACTCTCTCTGAGCTACCTCAGGTGATTTAGGTGTTTCTGGTTCTCTGGTTTGTCAGTGTTCTGCATTGTAACCCTTTTAGTTAAGGCTCTAGTTCAGTTCCTTAGGGAGATGCCATAGAGTTTAATGTGTAAGTGTTCCATTCTCACTGAAAGCAGCAATAGCACTTTCCTCATTTACTGTGACTTGTGGCTTAGTTCCAAAATGAAGGGCCCAGTTCCAGCTTTTACTGGAGCTAAGTTGAGTTACAAGAGAGAACCTGTGACAGACAAATTGCTTGTGAATGACCCTAAAGAGAGAACTTAGCAGAGCTCACATACTAATCCTGGCTCTTCTTACTGCATGAGTGATCTGTGTGAATCACATGGTGTTGTACTTCTGTTGGTGGTGAAAAGGAGCTAAGGAATAGATTTTGAACAGCAGCTGAATGCTGGGTTGGATCTGAGCTTGTGTGGTAAGTGAATGATGAGAGGTGAACTTCCACATCTAGCTAGTTAAACTAGGAAAGAATAGCAGCTCTGATGGAGGAGCAGATGTACACGTGAAATTGTATGATACATTCATTTTAGAGTCCCCAGGTGAGTTGTAGGCATGGTGTGAGATTTTTTTTTCCAGCAGTTCTCACTGTTGCTCATCACCAGAGCTCATAGTGATCTCCAGGAGGATTTCACTGGGAGTGGAACTAAGTCAGCAGTGCAGAAACTTGAACTCCAGAGCCCATGTGTGCAACAAAGTGATTTTTGAGCTGTTGTGCTGCTTTAAAGGCACTAAGTTCTTTGAAGCACTGTGGTTGGAGAGTGCTGTTAGGTATCTTCTTGAAAGCTGGGAATGCAAATGATCTCAGCAACAGGTTTTTCCAGTTTACATTCATGAAAGGCCTGACCATAAAATCATAATATTCACCTGATGTCCTTTAGCATCACGTGGTGGCAAGATAAAACCCTGAGGTGCTGCAGCTCTTTCACTGCTTTCGTGAATAAATGCACATCATCTCCAAACAGCCACAGAACAGCACATGAAGATTCTTTTTACTTTCTGCTGCTGCTCAGTTTTTTATACACAGGGACAAGACTCATCCATAGAAAACAAAGTCATCCCTCAGCAAAACTCTACCCACAAACCTTTTGGACTTGATGTTTTGTTTCACTAAAACAAACAGACAAACAAGATTAACAAATCTGTTCATTGGTGGTTGATGTTTTTGATGTTTTGCCAAGTCCTTGTTTTGTGGGTTTTCTTTCCCACTAAGCTGGTTCCAGAGAGTACATGTCAGTTAGGGTAGCAGCACGAGGCTTTAGTTCTCACTGAGAGCAGAAGGCACAAAAATGGATTTATCCACCCTCCAAAGCCTCCTGCTTACCTTCTGGCCTGTGAAATTGCTCAGCCTAATTCTGCAAAGCCAAGAATTTCGGCTTAAACATCCATATTTCTTTCTTTTTTCTTTGTTCTTTCCTAGGCAGTCAATGATTTGTGTCTGATATTGTTTTATTTAAGAGTAGGAAACTCTTGATAGAATATATCCCAGACATGTCTCTTCTTAGGAGATGTGTTGGATGTGTGTTTGAAATTTTGGACCATATGTCTGGGGGTTTTATAGATTAGAGGCATAGAAGTATAAGCCCTGCAGGAAAAACCAAACATGCCTTAATTGAGGTAAAAATATGAACCTAAATCACCTAAAATTTGATCTCCTTCTGCCATGACTTTATTCCCTGAATTTCCCTGGCGTGACCAGCAGCCACCTCAGATCATTCCATCCTTCATTCCCACAAATAACACAGCTTATTTTTCTGGGGCATTCCTAGAGAACTAAACTAGCAATTTGGAAGAATGTTAATTGCCCAAGTATGGTACAAGACAAGGCAATTTGCATAAAAAATACCAAATGTATGTTGGGAATGTCTGAGGGAAGGAGATGTGCCAGGATTTTGCATTTGTACTGCCCTTTGAGCTCGTGGCAAGGCTCAGGGGCCTGGGAAGGGGTATGAAAACAGAAATTTGGTTTGGACAAATAGGTATTCAGAGACAGTTTCACCTGGCTAACAGTAACACAGGTGATGGAGGAACCTTTGCCTTGGTTCCCACCTCTGCTTTGAGGCTGCAGATTGTCTGGGAGACCTTGGAAAATCACCTTCTGGCTCAGTTCTGCATCTGAAAAATGGGAATTATGGTGCTGACTCACACTGCAGAACACTTCCAGGTCTGAGGATGGAAGGCTGGAAGGGCTGGAATGTAGTGATTTGTATTGTAGGGAGCCTCACGTAATTTGGTGTTTTCCTGTAGTTAGGGTGAGCTCTCAGTTGTGTGAGAGCTTCAGGCCCTGCCTATGTGTGAAAAACAGCTTCATTTCACTTCAGGTTTGGCTTTAATTGTTGGAATAGCTAGTGCAGCTCCCAAATCCTGATTTCAAAGTCCTTATTTGACAGAGCAAACTTAGCCAAGCCGAATCCTTTTTACTACCTAACATTTTTTCTCTAGCAAGCAGAGTATGTTTTCTGAGGTTATTCCATTTTTTCCTTGATTTTTCTGGCTAGGACTGTTCCCAAACAGTGGTTTTGGCAGGGCTGGGTGTACCTGTGCTGGGCTGGGAGGGGTGTGAGGGGTGTGAGAGGTGTGAGAGGTGTGAGAGGGGTGAGGCACAATCCTCACCCTTTCCCTCTGGAGCACTCAGTGAGAGCAGAATGGGAAGGCTCCATAAAGAACTCCATTTCTCTTTCCATCTAGAAAAACAATCCCTTTTTATCTTCTTCCTCTATTCCTCAACTTCCAAACAGTAAGCCATGCTCTATTAGCTTTAAAGCTTGATGAAATTAGAGGTATGAAGAAAGTTAACTCAACTTCAGCTCAAACCAGCACAGATCATAGAATCATGAGTTGGAAAGACCTTAAAGCTCATCTTATCCCACCCCCTGCCATGGGCAGGGACATCTTCCACCAGCCCAGGATGCTCCAAACCTCATCCAACCTGGCCTGAAACACTTTGAGGTATGGACCAGCCACAACTTCTCTCGGCAACCTGTGCCTCATCCCCCTCACAGGGAAGAATTTCTTCCTAATATCTGATCAGGGTGTTTATTTGGAAATGCAGATTTTTTTCCTGGTATTTTGTCTCTTTGGATTAGAGGCTTTTAAAATTTATTTTTCTCCTTAGGTTTCCCACAGGATCTAGCACTGCCTGAACTACCACACAGATGCTATTGATGACAGAACTTTTACAAGTCACAATTAATATTTTGACAGAAAACATTACTTCCATGGAAACATTCTAACCAGACAGAAATGAACATTTCTCTCTTCTAGTTAGAGTAAAAATCTGAAACCAAACAAGCTAAACCTATTTTGGATGTTCTGCTGTTTCCCTTGGTAACAATCCTTATATGGGACAACAAAAATCTGCCTTTTTTGACCTCCCCATTTACATTTTCTGGTGCTTCCACACCAGCTGAATCCTTCAGGATTGAATTCACAAAGGCTGGAGAGGAGGATTTACATAGAACAATAACAAAACCTTTTGGCAGACCATTTGAACCACCGATTTGAATTTGGAAATAATTGAATTGCTCATTTCTGAACATTTCTGTGGCTTTGGGGTTTTTTTTCTGTTGTAATGGAAAACTTTACACTTCTTTATATCCAACTTACAGTTCCACTGTGTGTAAGGACAAACTGTCTGAGATCTCCTTTCAAGGGTGTGTATTAAGCTCTAAAAATAACCTCCAGAAAAACTGGCTTTTAACTCCTTTTAGACATGTTGCTGTGTAAGAAAGTGATATTTCAAAGGATGTTCCCTTGGAAGAACAGAAGTACTTGAGTTTGGTTAGACTTTGGAAGATTTTGCCCAGAGAAGGAAGGTCTGGAATTTCCTGTGAGATGCACAGGTGTGAGAAGGAGCAGATCTGAGTCTGTGTGTGCTCCAAAGGGACAAGTATGTGCAAGTCAGCAAAAGATGCTGAATTTCCAAACAAATAGGGGATCTTTTAGTGTAAAGAAGTTTAGCTTGGGGATAAATTTGAACTGGGATTGTGTTTCGAATAGGCAGAGAGAAACCTTTCAACTTCCCTTGCTTCGAGTCTTGTTTTCAGACTTCTTGAAATCACAGTTAACAGAGGTATAAAGTCAAAGTTTTACAGTTAAAATCTCTCCTTTTTGCTTTCATTTTAGGATTCTTAGTTTAAAATTTGGAGTGAAACAAGTTTTCTACAATAAAAGCACTGTAATGACCTGCACATGTCCCTGCCAGGTCTGTCCGTGCTCTAAGCATTCTGCAGACCTTGACCTGGGCAAAAATGACCTGGGCAAAAATAACCAGATGTGGACATTTCCTCTTGCAAAGTAAAATTCCTTTTCCATAAATATGTATTTTAAAACCTGATATGGACTACCCTGAGAAGATAAACTGTGACTCTTCTAGTTGTGCTTTACACAACTGGATTTGTCTGTCCTGGCTGGAGGGTCTGGGATGTAGGGTGGGATCACAGAATCACAGAATTTTAGGGGGGGGTGGGATCATAGAATTTTAGGGGTTGGAATGGACCTTACAGATGCTGCTTCCAGTTGACATTGTGTGTTTCCAGCTTAAAGAACTCACATGGGAAGTTCAGAACAAGGCAAAAGAACTCCTCTTGCCTTCAGAAATGGCTCTTGGTACTTCCACTGTGGTTAGAATGTAAGGTTTTTTTCCTCATAGGTTACTGAAGGTCCCTAAAGCATGTCTGGGTTTTTTTTTTGGTCTCCCTGTTCCCTGATGCATGTGTGAGATCCTTCTGCCTCTCTGTACAGCTACAGGCTCCGCGTGGCCTCTAGATGTCTCTCCTCCTCCTCGCATAGCACCAGCACCAGGCACTGCAAGAAATCCAGCTGCACCTCATCCCACGTCCTCAAGGAATAGACCTTTCCATGGCCAACCAAACCAGGTACAACAACACAGCCACGGGAGGATGCACAGGGCTCCCCCAGCCTGTGTTCCCAAACCATTCCATGTTGCTGTGGGCAAGGAGTGCAAAGCTCTTTGCAGATATGATCCTTGGAAAATCCACAGTGTCATTGCTCTGGTCACAAGCAACAAGGTCTTCTCTAGTGCTGAGTACTTCTCTACCTTATCTACTTACAAATATACATACTTAGATCTAAAGGATCTGTTAGGGCACTCAGACCTTCAGCCTCGTGGAACATATAAGGAGAATTTTGTCTATGATCTCTCAAGACCTGATGTGTTTCTCCTCTGGATCCTGGAGAACATGAAGTTGGTGGTAATTTGTGTAAGAATAGGGTTTATCCTCGTCTTGGAAACAGTGATATTTGTATCTGGGTGTAATAATAGGCCAGGTGCTTTGAGATCTTTTAGGTTGAATGGGTAAATGCTGAACAAATATTAACTCTGCCCAAGAAAAAAAGTGTAGCTGGCAATGTTGTGTTTTGCTGGCTGCTTTGGTTGCATGCCAGGAGCAAAAAGAGCAGCACCACAAGGCAAATTGAAGTGCTGTGATAACATGCAAAAACATTAGTTGGGGTTGTGGTGAGATAAAGCTCTTTGGGCAAATTAATGACCTGGCCCAGGCTGAATTGATTTCCTGTTGGTTTTAACAAGACACTTTTCTGCTCCCTCATTTCCTCAACATGCAGATAGTGATCTCCTTTAGACTGCTGTAACAGCTAAGGAACATGATAGTTAGCATGTGTGAGGCTAAAGGTGAGAATAAGTATCAGCAAAATCAACATGCTGCAGCCTGACATTTATTCTTTCTTCAATATGTTCCAAAAAATAACATTTGAGGGAAAAGTAAGTAAAATTCTGAGGTTTACTACCTCCTGAATAGTTTGAGTGGTTGGTAATGAAATATTAAGATTTCTAAACTGTGGCACAGACCATTTAGTTGTGGGAAACCCAAGGAAAATTAAATCATGGGCATCTTTTCCCTGCACAGCACTCACTGAATGACTTGTCCTGCTTCCAGCTCCGTGCAATGGGGCAGTTACTGTGACTGCTCAGTCTTAAAGCTGACTCTGAATGCAATTCTCTGTGTGTTTTCAGGTACTAGGAACTTCTGACTGGAAAAACTGAGGTGGTGATCCTCAAGCATTATCCTCTCCTGCTTGTGCTCAGCTGAGGTGAGACCAGTTCCTCAGCACGTAACAGGGACAGTGGTTTCTTCTGCTGAAAGTGATGGTGAACTTCTGTCAGCTCTTCCTTCTGAGGGAGAGGGCACAGAGCTCCTGCCTTGTCCAGAGAGTGATGAACTGTGGATGCTGTGGAGAGGTGATCTCAGGATCTCCTGACACATGGAGCCCATTACCAGAAGCAGTGGAGTAGCATGGAGAAATGTTCAGGCATTTGCAGGCAGTCTGTGTTCAGAGGGTGAGAGGTCTGGATGAGTCTCCTCTTTCTGGAAGAGCACAGAGAGGTTTAACACACTATGCAATTCAGTTCTGAAAAGACTGTTACATCAATTTAGCCTCTACTTCACATCCTCATGTGTAAAGAACTGGGCACCCCACAAAGCCCAGGGAGGGAGTGGTAGGTTTAGCTGAGGTTTCCACATGTCTGTAGGACTTCAGGCTCTTGGTTTGTACCATTAGCTTTAATGGGTGTGATGCTGTTGCTTCTGAAGTGCTTCAGGATCCACATTTTTTGGGGAAGACCACATGGTATGTGATCCCTGTCACTGCACTGACAGCTCATTTCCATCGAGGGACAAACATCTATCTCTCAAAGCTGCCACTGCTTCTGTTGCCAGTCTGGTACTCTTGGTAGAGACAGGATTGATCTATTTAGTGAGAGCAGCAAACACATAATTTGCTGGGCAGGATCAGGCAACACTTGTCCTTAAATACAGCACTTGTGTTTGTGACTCCACACACACATGCTTAGTTTCAGAGGTCCTGTCCAGAGGACACCCATGAATGCATCTGGCAACCAGTAAAGACAACTTCCAGAAACATCCAGCTCAGCTGGTAAACTGATGTGCAAAATGTTTCTTACTTCTTGCCCCCAAATGGTGACAATCCCACCAGGTGCATCATCTGCCAGAGGGACTTCTGCCCATTTCACCTCTGCTGCCAAGACATTTTTCCAGAAT